CTGTGACGACTGCCCTTGTACTGTTCACCATGTAAGAACTTACTCACTATGTAAGAATTTGTTCACCATGTAAAAACTTGTTCATTATGCTTCAGAAGATTGGAGACTGTTGAGAATTAGGTTTGGGGTTGATTAATGATTGTGCATTGAGTCCCCTATACAGAATTTTATTGTTAACAACCATTTGATCAATTGTTGGGGACGGCCTTTGTCTTCTCACATGTTTGTAGGCAGAATGGGAAAGCACCTTCCCCCAGGTCTGAACGCAGCATGGGAAAGCACAAGCTTGAGAACAACTGGTGCAGTCCTTGGAAGTTATCTGTCCATGAACACATATCTTGTCCTCGAAGAGGAGCCAAGAATCCTCACTCTGTGACTGTGACAAGGAGCCGCCTTGGCCCCCCTCACCCACATGCCGATGAGGCAGGAATGGAGAACAAAGAACATCCTGTTTACGCATTCCATGAGGAACTGAAGAAGCCTTATTGTTCTTAACTTTGCTGGGCTGCCCTGACATCAATATTGTGCTTGGCTGTTTATTAGATTAGGCTATTTTCTGGAATCATGTATCTCTTTGCTGTATAAATACCCTGGTACCCAGTAAAGCTTTGCTGGAATGCACAGGAGCGTCACCCCTCCCAGTTCTGTCTGTCTTCTCTTTTTTCTCCAGTCTCACCCCCCTGTCACCAGGTCCAGTTCAACTCGGCGCGGCTGGACCACGACAATCAATAAATATGAGAGATGCCCTCTCAAAAAAATAAATAAAATAAAATAAAATAAAATGTATTGTTTGCCAAATAAAAAAAAATGTATAATTTTATTCCCAAAACACTTTTTAAAAAAATCTTAATCTATATTATTGAAGTATATTTATGGGATGATGAAATGTTCTAAAACTAGTGGTGATGCTTAAACAACTCTGAGTATATTAAAAACCATGGACTTATGTATTTCAAAAGGGTGAATTTTATGGTATGTGAATTATCTAAGTAAAGCTGTTTAAAAAAAGAAACAGAAGATATTTAAACAAATACTGATATTTGAAATTTAAATCCTGGTCAGGATCTGAATCTGGGAGGCCCTGCACTAGAGTGCCATTTGCCTGCTTTGCAGAGCCCCTCTGCCTCTGTCTCCCGTTGACTGTCCCACCTTGTCTGGGCTCTCCTGTGAATACCAAAAGCTCCAGTACCGATTTGTTTCACTGTGGTCTAAAACGTACATACTGGTGGTGCCTGGGAAATTGCATGTTGGTAAGAATGTGGAGGCTGGCTGCTGTGGGATCCTAAATGATTCTAGGTCCTGCCAAATTCAAAGCTCACTGATGAGTCAACTTCTGATGGGTGTGTGTGTGTGTAGAAATGAGTTCCCATGTGTGATGGAAATGGCTGCTGTGCACACTGAATTTGAAGCTTCAGATGGTTGGAGCAATGAACTCTTAAAATAAAACCAACATTTAATATTACTTTTGAAGAATTTTTTTCTGACTTTAAAAGTAGCACATGCTTATTACAGAATGTTTAAAACATTGTTTCTTAGTTTCTACACAATCATCAAGGCTTATTAGAAATGCAGATTCCTCAGACCTGCCATGGACCTTAGAACTAAGTCGGAGCCCAGGAATCTGCCTTCTTAGCCAGTCTCCCAGAAGTTCATAGACATATATACTTTAAGAACCACTTGTGTTTAATACAGAAAACTATAAATAAAAAAATTAAAAACACTTGTAATTCTATGCCTTCAAGATCATCACTAGTGGGGCTAATTCCTTACAGCAGTTCCCCTCCACCCCAATGTGTACGTTTGTCTTTACAAGTTTTTAGAATGTGAGTTTAAGTTGGATTTATAGTTTGGTGCCTGCTCTTCTCTGCTTGACATTATACCCTGAGCATTTTCCCACGTTGTTAATATTTTCCAGAAACACAATAATTAAACATTTGACTTTTGGTCCACTTTACCTTGTAGCTGCTCATCTTGTTTCTTGCTGCACCCATGTTTTGTATGTGAGCAGAAGGGTTCCAACTTGGGGGGATTCATTCAGTCTTTCTACTGAAAGGTAGGAGGATTGGAAGGGAATGTAATTTTGGTATCTCCTTAATTTCATATGCAGATAATTTAATGGCCAACTGATAACATAGGGACAATTCTGTTTGGAATTTCCAGAAAATGTTCCATTTTTACTTTTGCCCTGAAGTGAATGTACATGTTCTAAACCATGCTTTTTTCTACATCTGGACCCACCCCTGCCTTTAACATCAGGATAAAGTCACCTCTGCCAGGTTCCTGTATAATCCTATATATCTCATATAGAAGTGGGTCTTTTGTATTTAATTTTTATGTTACTAATCATTAAAATGTAATTGTTAAAATATTTTAAACATCTTTATTGGTACATGTTTCATATACAAGACTTACCTAAGGGGCTACAACTTAACAAATATCAACTACAAAGTGACCTCATAACTCACTTCCTTTATACAGCAATAATCATGACTACAGTGTTTATTAATGTAATACATTTTGAGTTTTGGATGACCACTTTGTATCAAAAGATGTGCCAATCATGAATAAAATTAGTTTTCTCCAAAATACATAAAAGCAATAGCCCTAAATTTCCTAGGTGGAGATTATTCTAGGTATGGTCATTTACAAAGTTTCAAGAAAGAAATATGCAAGTTATTTTGTGTTTTTTCCTGGCCAAACTTTAAGAGTAATTCACTTCCAGCAAGTATTAAAATGTCCATCTTCTTTCTTCTTTGACAGATGCCAGAGATGTAGAGCAATTGAGCAAGAACAAAGTGACACATATTCTGTCTGTCCACGATAGTGCCAGGCCTATGTTGGAGGTAGGAGAGTCACGCTGTGTCTTCCTTTGTGTTTGTGGGCATGTATGGGACATTAATGCATGCAAGTGTTCCCTCTGACACCAGTGTGCTCCTATGATTGTTGGCTATGTTGATTTCATGATCAGACCATGTTTATGTCTTTGCCCTGTCTATGGCATGGCGGCAGGGTGTGTCTTCTGGTTGTATTCCTGTTGCATCTATCATGGCATTTTTGGCTAACTGCCCAAGAATAAGCTGATGCTGCACTTCCCTCTGGATCTTAAGGACATTTAAAACCCATTTTCATTCCTTTCAAAATTATCTCGTTTTAGAATCCAAAAGAATTCAGACTGCTTATTTTCTGATTTTTTCCATTTAAGCTCAATTATAGCTATCTACTACTTGCATTTAGGAATAAAAGACAGTAGAAGAAAAAATGGTCACTGGAGATTCTCCAGGGCAACTCTGGTACAGAGACTGCCAATGTAGAAGCTGTTGTTTATTGTCTTAGATTTTGGAGTAAAAAGGGCATGTCTGCCTGTACACTAATTCCAAAAACATCATCAATTTTACGTAATGGACCGTTTGAGTGGTTGGCCAGGAGTAAAATCTATTTCTGTTTATTAGCCTCAACAGAGCCCAGGTTACCTGTTTTTAGAAAATAATTCGTTTGTGGTTGTGATGCATATGTGTTTTTCTCTTTAGGGTGGAGTGTTGGAAATGGAGGGATGACTTGTTCTGAAAGAAATAATCCTAGCTCAAGGTGCTTTCATTTAATTTCACATTACACAAGAGTAGGTAATATACTTTTTATTTTAAATATATCTACTTTCCTTAGCCATCAGAGCTACTAGATTTCAGTTAGTGTAAAACAAATGAGACCAAGGAATAGTGAGTGATTTGTTGAACGTTGTACCAGGGGAACCATTAGGTGGGGAACAAACCTTAGTTCACTCCTCCAGCTCTGTGAGCTCGCCCTTCCTGCTGTTGTTTGAGCCCATGGCTTTCTGGTATGGGGCTGTAATATGTGTTGAAGTGTGATTTTATTGAAACCAGCAAAGCACATCATTTTATTGGAGTTCTCTGAAAACTGCTACACCATGTTTTCATCTATCAACAATAGTTTATTTGCAGTAGAGCCAGTAAGGCTAAGATGAAAAGTTAAACACAAACTGGTCATGATTGACTTCCTCTTAAATCACAAGATGAGGCTTGAGGTTTCCTTTATTTTAATAAATTGCATAGATGTCCTTCTCCCCTCACCCTCCAGGCCTGCCTCGCCTGTCTCCTTTGTGCTCCATTTAATGGAGCACATTGCCATGCATGGATATGGCCCTTAAATCTGTTCACATAACTTCTGTCTAGATACAGGATCTTCATGTGTTAGAAGGGAAAGCTCCAGCCCTTATCTGTCCAGCCTTCCATGTTACAGGCAGGGAAATGAAGGGCTGGAAAGTAAAACAAGTGGGGCTGTAACCTGGTATAAAGAGACCACTATTTGAGTAAAAACTTCAGTGCTGTGGGTAAACTGTGTTCCCTCATCAGTGACACACTGCACATCCTTTTTAGTCCCTGCATATCTCAGCCTGTGAGACAAATTCTGTCTTGGAAAAAGAAAGGAAAATTATTTGTCTCAGGGATGACTTTTCCTTGGTGACATCCTAGTATAGTCTTTGAGTGCTATTATCACCTCAGCTTGATAGTAAGTGCTTTCCTGTGAGTTCATATTTATTAAGGGTTAGACCACTTTATAGCATGACATAGTTTAATATTGCCCTTCTTTTATTCATTTTTAACTTCACAAGTTATTCATCAATACATTCTTACACAAAGAACTAAAACAATAGCCTTTCTGATTGCACAACTGGGGAAAACTGAGGCACACAATTATCTGAACTGGCATGCTCACAACTCATATGAAGTCATTGGGAGAGAGATGGTTTACATGCCTACTGCTCTTTGACATAGAAATACTAGCTGAACTGGGTCCTAGAGGTCACCTACCTGATTCTATTGCTGTGTAGAAAAGGAAGCTGAAGTTCCGAGACACAAAGGGACTTGCCCATGATTCCACAGCTGGTCTAGGTGGCTTGATGGGAATCTTCATCTCCTTTCTCAGACCAGAGATTTTCCCAGAATGCCTTACTGCTTTGGTGTTCTCCTAGCATGACTGATGCTTCTGATTTTGCTGGCAGTATTAATAGATATTGGCATTTCAGCTTCGGAAAGGGTCCCAGAAGTTCAGATCTTTGGCTCTCTGCCTAATGCGTAAAGGCTGTTTTCTGTCTTAAATTTCAGATTCAGTTCCAGAAGCCATGATCTCATGTAGCCTGAGATAAGTTAGGGAAATTGTTTGTTTGGAGTCAGTAGGGAATTGATGGGTGGATTTTATTCTTCAGCATTCCCATGTTTTGCTGGCCTTGGTCCTTGGAGAGCAAGGGCAGGGATGGAGGTGTGAGGGTAGATTGTGTGCAGAGCCTGGTGAGGGGGTCTAATGCAGGATGGAAGGGTAGGGGTAGGAGGGAACAGAGCTGGGACATCCTTCATTTTCTGAAATCTTCAAAAGTGTGCACATTTATCAAATGGTCCCTTGTACTCTGGGCAGCACCAGCTTGGAACTGGGCTGGAAGCGGAGAGGTCATTACTAAGATTGAAGGTGTCAGTCATACAACTTCTGTGAAGGAGTTCTGTGACCCCTGCTGCCATGGAGCTCTGTACTGGGCTCTACAGTATAGGTAGCCCTTTGCCTTATTTCCAACAAATATCTGATGGTTTTAAAAGCACTGCCTGCTTAGCATCAACTTTTGAGGCTTTTAAAATCTGTAGGTCTGCTGTTATTGCCATGGAGGCTAAGTGAGAGAGGGCAGTCATGTTGTTCAGTGCAGTTTCTAGAACAGAGCTCATGGGTCAGGGGCTTAGTGAGGATTCTCAAGAGATAGATTATTGAACGGTAAGCCGTTCAATAATGCTTTGCAGAAAATAAATAAGTTTCAGGAATTTATTATGTCATAGGCCCCTTTGGAAGATTCACAGCTGTATTGACAGCATAAAGGCTCTCAAGCTCTGCATTGAACACATGTATTTGTCAGTCTTTTTGAGCAGGGAACTAGTTTGTGTGTGTGCATGCTTAGGTGACACACCACTTAATAACACCCCATGGAACTATATTCTACTGGATCCAGATTCAGGAGGACCCAGGAGAGGGGTCTATTGGCCCTTGGAGTCCAGGTGAGTCTCTTGGATGAGTGCACGTCCAGTGGGATGCTCTCATGACTGGTAAACTAAAGCAGCTGGGGTCAAGGAGAGGGCGCCAAGTCTGACCTTGTTGTGGCTGAGGCTGCCTAGTGTGAATGTGAAGCCTAGTATCGGATAATGGGAGATTGCACAGTGTGTGTGCCTGTTACATCCTCTCAGGTGGTAATGATTTGTAACCTGTTAATGGCACTTCATCAGTGACAAGACTTCTATAAACTGCACCTGCTGTGAAAGGCCTCATGACTATGCTGAAGACATCTTTAGCTACTATGCATTTATTGACTTCACTTCGGAAGGACTTTGTGCAACTATTGACTTAGTTTATTTTAGTTACATTATATCTGATTCTCTTTCATTTGGGTAATTTTTGATAGGGTTTCTCAGCATAGCATAGCAGAGTCTTGCCCTCTCCCTAGCATCCCAGTATGCAGAAGAAAATGAAAGAGTGGAAGGTGCTGATCTCAGGCCTCTGGACATTGGATGGAGCCAGGTGGACTTGGATGCTTATCTGGTAGATGAGACAAGATTTCTTTATTCTCTGAACCATGGGGTAGGTCAGCATTCCCATGTTTTGCTGGCCTTGGTCCTTGGAGAGCAAGGGCAGGGATGGAGGTGTGAGGGTAGATTGTGTGCAGAGCCTGGTGAGGGGGTCTAATGCAGGATGGAAGGGTAGGGGTAGGAGGGAACAGAGCTGGGACATCCTTCATTTTCTGAAATCTTCAAAAGTGTGCACATTTATCAAATGGTCCCTTGTACTCTGGGCAGCACCAGCTTGGAACTGGGCTGGAAGCGGAGAGGTCATTACTAAGATTGAAGGTGTCAGTCATACAACTTCTGTGAAGGAGTTCTGTGACCCCTGCTGCCATGGAGCTCTGTACTGGGCTCTACAGTATAGGTAGCCCTTTGCCTTATTTCCAACAAATATCTGATGGTTTTAAAAGCACTGCCTGCTTAGCATCAACT